CTCTCAGACAGTATTTTAATATTTGTACTTGGCGCAAGCTCCTGATTATTGAACATCCACTGAACTGGAATGTCATCATGGGACAAACTCAGCTCAAATGAAGCAGTGGCACCCAGCAGTGACGTCACATCCTTTGGTTTTTTCACAATTTTTATAGCTAAAAAGAGATTAAATGGTATTGAAATACATCTAACAACAGCAGACAGGTTTAATTAATTAGTACTTGAAAGATATTTTTAAAAAACATACTTTCAACATTAAGTCTGGCATTAGCAGAGAGTTTTCCAAGTTTGAACCCATAAACTGATTCATCTTGGGTGTTACAGTTCTTGATCTTCAGGGTGTGAACCATGCCTTGGACAGTTATCTCAAATTTATCACTTGGATGAATCTCAACACCATTCTTGATCCACTGGGATCCTTTCACATCTAAATGGGTGAGTTCAATACTGAACACTGCCTCCTGGGTTTCAGTAACAGTTTGGTTCTTCATTGTCTTCCTGATTTTAACAGCTTGAATTAAAAAAAAANAAAAAAAAAGAAAGAAATTGCATATAAATAACTTCTAACAGATGAAATAAACTATTCTGTGATGCACGGTTTACCTTCAACCTTCAAGTTGCCAGATGTCTTGGAGTTTGCCACCTGGTAGGTGTACTCTCCAACATCCTGTGGCCTGGTGATGACGATGACAAACCGTCTGACAGCACCATTATTTTCACTCATGATATTATCGCTGAAGTCAATAGGGTGACCATCTTTAAGCCATTTGCCTTCTGTAGTAGGATTAGCAACTTCACACTCCAGCTCAGCAGTCTGGGATTCTGCTACAGTCACATCATGGAGTGGCCTATTTATAGCACCACCTAGTGGAGAGATAAAGATAAAACATCAAAACAAGACAAGTGACATGTTTCCCACATCGTAGTGGCAAAAAAGTATGTACTTTTAAAAAGCAATTTGAATGTCTACATACCTGATACAATAAGTCTTGCTCTAGATTCCTTCTCACCAGCCATAAACATGTACTCTCCTTCCTCATCCTTCATGGCATTCAAAACAGTGAGGCTATAGTGTGTACCTTTGCTCTCAATCTTGTACTTTGGACCTGCCTTTAAAGGTTGACCCTTGAAAGTCCAGAGAGCATCAATGCCAGGGTGAGATACCTCCACTTCAAATGTGACATTCTGGGTCTCAGTGCAAACACGCTCTTCCATGTGCTTAACAATAGATACAGCTATAAAACACAATGACCAATGACATAATTACCAATTATTTTAAAACAATTACATCAAGAAAAGGAATATATAATAAAATAAATTTTGAGTGACACTCACGCTGGACAGAAAGTTTACAGGTTGAGTCTACTTTGCCAGCAATCAGTTTATACTGTCCTTCATCTGATGCGTAGGTCCTGTTAATAGCCAGCCTCTGTTTAGATCCTTTGACAACCATCTGGAATCTATCACTTGCTGTCACCAGCTTGTCGTTGTGAAACCACTTCACTGAAGTTATATCAGTAGCAGAGATTTTAGCCTCAAGAACAGCTTTAGTGCCTTCCACTGTGGAAACATCCTTTAGTGCCGCCAAGAAGCCAATAGCTGTGCAAGAAACAAAATGATTAATAAAAAACTCATTATCCTCAGGAAAATGGAAATCAATGTTTGATAACCCATTGAACATTCATTTAGAGTTAAAAGGTGGCTTACTTTGAACTGTTAGCTTTCCATTTGTAGAAATGTCCTGAGCAGGAACAACAAATGAGTACATTCCTGCATCATCCTTACTGGCGTCCTCAATGAGAAGCTTATGGGTGACTTTGTCAATGACCAAATGAATGTTATCGGAAGCAGAAATGGCTTGGCCACTCTTCATCCATGAGCCCTCAACATTTTCCTGAGAGAATCGCACCTCAAGTTGGGCAATATCACCCTCACAGATTGTCAGGTCAGAAAGACCTTGCATCAGAGTCACAGGGCGCACTAAAGTGAACCAAAAAATATTCAAGTAAGATTTATATGACAACCGAAGTAAGTTTTGCTAGAAAATGTGGTAGCCTAAAAATGCTTTTAAATACTTTAATCTTGGTTGCCTCATACTCACATTTCATCTTAAGGGAGGCACTTGTCTTAAGATCTCCCACTTTGAAAGTGTATTTTCCCTGGTCCTCCTTCCTAACATCTTTCACAGAAAGACTATGACGACCACGACGTGCAGACACAACATATTTGAGGCTAGGAGTGATTTCTTTGTTCTCAAAATACCAGGTGCCTTCAGCATCCTCACGGGACAAAACACACTCAAACTCTCCAGAGTATGTCTCAGGTACTTCTGTATTCTCAAGATTCTTTACAATTTCAAGTGGTGCACCTGTGTAAGACAATTTATTATTTTTTTAATTTTTTATTTGACCAAATAATTAACTGCACAACACTGTTAAAACACTGATGTATAAGAAGATTAAACTGTGTTGTACTGACCTTCAACATAAAGTGAGGCACTGGTTCTTATGTGGTCATCGTCAATAACCACACAACTGTACACTGCTTCGTCATTCATAGAAATTGTCAGCACTGACAGGAAGTGCA